GTAACACAAATGCATCTGTAGGAACAGGATTTCCTCTCACACACACGCATCAGCGACGCACGGCAGGCAGGGCACGCACGCACGGCGTACGCAACGCACCGCAGGCAGGCCAGGCACGCACGCACGCACGACGTACACGTCGCAGCACACAATGCATCCTGTATAACAGGATTTTCCTCTCAACACCGCAACAGCAACGAACTACGCACGCACGGCACACAACGCACGCACGCACGCCACGCACTACACATTCGCACACACAATGCAATCTGTATAGCAACGAATTTCCCCACTCACACACGCACGCAGACGAATGGCACGCACGGCATGCATGATATATATATATATAATACGCACGCACACAGCACGACACGCACGTAAACGCAGCGCCTACAAATAGCACGCACGCACGTAGCCACGCTGTATACACAATGCAATCTGTAATAACAGGATTTCCCCTCCCACAGCACAGCACACCACGCACGCAACGCACGACAAAATGCATCTGGATAGCACGCCGTTTCCTACCTTACTCACGAGCACAGCCGCAACGCACGCACGCACGCACGCAACGCACGCACCAACACACGCACGCAGGCCTTTGCCTGATCAAGGATCAGACCGCGGACCCTGCTCGAACGTGAAACTCAAGGAACTGCGGCCGGAAATACGGGGAGATTTTGTACTCCCTGAGAGACTCACGTTAATTGCGACCCGCGAGATCGTGACTACTTTACGGACCTGAGCCTGTCAGTGCTTGCGAACGACATAATTATCCACAACTTTTGCAGTTTAACCCCTCTGGTTGCCGTTCAGGTCATCACCACGTAACGGTGCGGATTATACTGTCCCTGCAGTAGTTAACGCGCCTTAATAGTGAATTAATGCTATGCATCAGGAAACAAATCGGAATTGGTTTTTGAACCTGCATTTGGCCGCGTGTCTTTTCGGCCAGACATATTAGCAGGAGTTAAATAAAGACACCATCTGTCTTTATTAACTCCTGATATATAATTAGTCAGGTGCAGCGTTTTGTCGTTTCGAAAATTTGTGGCACAATCGAGCAAAACTATAATCATTTTTGGAATCTTCAGAGCATGGAGAATCCGAAAATCCATATGCCCCAAGTTGCTCTGTGCAACGTTGGTGAGAAACATGGCAATAAGCGTGGGAGCACATCAGCACTTGTAGCGTGTTCAATAAAATATAAGTTAAATAAATACGAAATCTATTTACTCACCAAAGTCTTAATAGTCTATACTCTCTTCACCTATTATTGCCGTGAGCACAATTTCCTGTAAACGCCGTTCCAAATCTCATTTGCAACAAACGCTGGCTGCCGCATGGCTGCCGCTGCACACGACACATAAATATATAAGAAGATGAGCATTTTGACGGGGCAATTTGGCAGATAAATTGCTCGGCAATAATAGATGAAAGAAAGTATAAGAAACATTAAGACTTTGTAGTAAATAGATTTCGTATTTATTTAGGCATTATTATTTTGAAACGCTCGCAGTGCCTGTGGTGGAGAGCCAAGCTGTTAAAGACACACAGCAGGGGGTTATCCGAGCTGGCCCCGATAAGCCACTAGCTATACAGATTTCATACTATGATTCAATCAATTCACTTTCTTACCGTTCGTGATTTACCACAAAAGCGCGAGCGACTTTTCCGCACCATGTTTTTCTTGCTGGGTAATTGGACCATATTCTGAACCCCCCAAATAAATTAGGTTGTAGCCGTTCTCTTAACGTTCTAAGTCAATACCGTAATGCTATCAGGAGTTTATACAGAACGCCTGACGCCGAACACAGTTGTTCCTTTATAATGTCCGCCGTGAAACCTGCCAGCCCAGACAGCATTTGTGTGTGATAATTAGACTGGGTGCGAGAGGGGGGGTGGGACTGCTGATACTGGTTTACACGGTCAACCGTTTCTTAATAGCATTAGGTATCCACCGCCCGTACCTGTCGTCCTAGATCTATCAATAATTGCGACTGTTCGAACACCGACGTTCTATCAGCGGTGATGCGTCACAATATTACTACTAATAATTAACTAATTAATATTACACTTAATAAAGTTTTTAAATAGCTTTTAACGCAACTAACATCAAAAAACGAACGAAAATAACATTGTGCCTAGCTCTGTAAAGCCCTAAACGTCTAGCATAATTTTTAATCAAAGAATCGCATTACTACGTTTTGAAAGGCAGACGTCCTCAAATTGGATATTTTGTATCGAGAGATTTCTTCGAAATCATGGACTGGCGTGCAAGGTGCATCCATCGCAAAGTTAAGAAGTCAGTAACTAGGGAATAAAACGTATATTCAATACGTGCAGGTCCACATTTTCAGAAGATATAAAGGATTATAAGGTACGACTTTCATATTTTATTTGATGTTTAGGTTAGGCTGTTAGATATCTGGTAAATAGAAAACAATTTTTGAAAATGATTTACATATTTGAAACCGTAATGCCAATAAGATCGTTCTTTGTTTATACTGTTGATAAGGTCATTTTACCTCGTAAGCTTCTCTCCGGAAACCAAAAACTCCCAACTAGGATCATCTTTATAAAATGAAACATTTTAAAGTGCACTGTCATTCCGTAGGTAAAGCCTGACCTCTAAAAATAATAAGCCGCATTTCATTGCCCTAAGTGACTCTTCTCAAATTTAAGCCAGCGAAAACAGCCAGTAACTCATAAATTAATTTCCCATATTACATAAAAGATTCGTGGTTTTGGCAATTTGGCATTAGTAAACGAATAATATCGAATTCTCTTATCACCACGCTATATTCTTGGCAAAGTGTGCAAACCGAATAACCACACGGTGCACACAAACAGAACACTCGCCTGTGACGTCTACAACGAATTTTCGGGCCAACCGGAATGATCGACATAAAAACTCTCAAAGAAGAAAAAATAAACAAGCCGAAACGCGTCCTCAAACAGATACCTAGCAGTGCGCCTCGGTCGCTCGCGGCAGACGACCGGCGACGGCTGCGTCCTCCCCTGACGTCGGGGCGGCCGCCGTGCCGACGCAAGCGACCAGCCGCGACTTGCGGCTCGGTTGTTGTGCGAGGATTCGCCGCGAGGGGTGCGCCGTAGAAGGCACATCGGTCGCCAATGCGAGAACGAGCGGAGCTTCGGAATCGAGATCGATCACAAACGCGTGCCCCGGACGGCGACGGACTGTTGCTGCTGCCGACGACGCCTCCTCCGGGTGGCGCCACCCGGCGGACGGCGTCGACGTCGACGTCGCACCGAGTGTCGCGTGCCTGAAGGAGGCGCTGCGGCTGCTGCGCGGCTCGGGCTGCGAGCCGTCGGCCGCCGGTCGCCGACGTCGTCGTCGCCAACGTCGACGCCGACATGCGACGCAGCAAGGTTCGTGGAAGATCTGCGGCGGAGCCTCTGTGGGATAATCGCAATGCGAGAATGAGGTAAGACAGATGATATAATCGAATGAGATAAGTTAAAACAGATGAGAACTCCCGCATGAGATATAGGTAAGATCACATAGATCACAGGAGTAACCCATCTAGACAATCACACGTATCCACGGGGTAAGATCACATGAGATACTCGCATGAGATATGTAAAGATTGCATGAGATATTAGGTAAGATCACATGAGAATAAGTAAATCACATTGAGATAAGGTAAGATCACATGAGATAGTAAGATCACATGAGATAAGGTAAGATTCACAATGAGATGATCACGTGAGATAAGGTAAGATCAGCATGAGATAATCACATGACATAAGGTAAAGATCACATGAGATCATCACCAGTGACATAAGGTAAGATCACATGAAGATAATCACATGACATACAGGTAAGATCAACATGAGATAATCACATGACATAAGGTAAGACTACTGAGGATAATCACATACATAAGGAAGATCACGTGAGATAATCACATGACATATAGTAAAGATCAGCGTGAGATAATACACATGACATAAGGTAAGATCACATGAATAATCACATGACGATAAGGTAAGATCACGTGAGAATAATCACATGACAATAAGGTAAGATCACATGAGATAATCACAATGACAATACTAAGACTCACATGAGATAATCACATGAGATAACACATGACATATAGGTACGATCACATGCAGTTAATCACATGACAATAAGGTAAGATCACATGAGATAATCATCATGAGATAATAACCATGACATAAGGTAAGATCCCATGAATAATAATACAATGACATAAGGTAAGATGCACATGAATAATGCACATGCGAATAATCCACATGACATACGAGGTAAGAATCACATGAATATAACACATAGTAACCTCTTGATAATTATACACAAGTCATGAGATTTCGAGCGTGACATCCGTGGATAATCGCACAAGGAGTGAGTTTTTGAAACCTCTGTGTGGATAACCACGCGAGATGTAAGATTTCTGAGATTGTAACCTCTGTGGATACGTACACAAAGCAATGAGATTTCGAGCGTAACTTCTTCAGATAATCGCATAGCGGCATGAGAATTTTCGAGCGTGACCTCTGCGAGTGATCAGACAAGTATAGAGATTTTGAGCATTACCTCTGGAAAATTACACAAGCAATGAGATTTCAAGTGTAACCTCTACAAATAATCGCGCATTAAGGCACGAGTTTTCTAGCATGACCTCTGTGGATAATTGCACAAGCCATGAGTTTTTAAGTCTAACCTCTAGAACTAGATAATCACACAAGCAATGAGATTTCAAGTGTAACCTCAGCAGATAATTGTACCCGGAGTGAGTTCTTGATCGTCACCTCTAGACAATCGTGCAAGCCATAAGTTATCGATCTGCAGACGATTGAATGCGCAAGGCTTGAGATTTCGAACTCAATCTCAGTGAAAGATTGCGCAATTAGCAAGCGAAATAATTGCCTGCTGGAACTTGTGGCAATTCTTGATGGAGCTTCCAAGAAATGGTTCACAGTCGGGGTAAAGGGGATTGGGAACACACTTGTGGGTCTGCATTCTTGAATTTTTTAGTGCTTTGCAAAGATTTGCCTAGGTGAAATAGGATAACTAAGGTACCAGTACTTACCTTACCTAATATATAGTTTTTATATATAAAGGTAATAGATAAAGGTAAGAGAGGCAATTAAGGTAAGGTAGATAAGACGCGGCACACAAGGCTGTATATTGACGTTACTCTTGCGTCTTGGTCGATCTAGAAGATACACGGCATACGAGACTAAGCACGTAACAAAATTCCTAGTGCAGTGGCCTCTAATGAAGCCACTATATAATATATAGCCACGCACGCACGCACGCACGCACGCACACACAGACAGAAAGAAAAACAGACAGACAGACAGACAGACAGACAGGTAAGGTAGACAGATACATAGATAGAATGTGTGTGTCTCTAGAAAATACTATTTCCTCCATCTGTTCCACATTCACTGGAACCTTCCCTTCCAGAAATCCTGGATCCTCCCTCGAATTTCTAATACGGTATACTCTTTATGTCAATGCGTGATCACCTAGTTCCCGCACGTGCTACCACTCGTCATAATGATCACACAGTAACGTAGTGCTCACAATATCATCAGGAGATAATGAAGACAAATCTTTCAAATTCTTCTCAAATTTGTCTTCATTAACTCTTGATATCATCCATACTGTAGCATTTACTGTGAAAGCAGCTGCGGGCCTCAGGGTTACGGAAACGGAGATAGGCACCGCCCTATGAGCCAATGTTCCACATAGGCGCGGGAAGGATTTAACTTTTTTTAAATATCATTGAGATTTCTCTTGAACATTTTGTCAATGTGTAATCACCTTGTCTCCGTGCAACCTTCCACTCACTCTCAAAGCTCAAAGGGATCGTGTGATTGTACTCTGCAAAATCTCTCGAATTGCAGCCATTTCTCTTCATCCCCCGCCCGCCCACCTCACGTGGATCAACCAAGAGTTATCTAGCTTCCGTCACAGTTCCGTGTATAACATTCCCAATCGGAATCTAACTCGCCCTCGACCGTCAATAAACTAGCTCTCGTCGTGCCCTCTAGAGAATCTACCTCTAGCTCTAACATAATCACAGTCACACGGTATCTTCCCTGCGAAAATGGCCTCAAGGAATTGCGCAACTGATGAATTATTAGGACTGAAATCCGCTCACGCGCGTACCCGTGCCCGATGAAATAAGACATGCGTTCACCTACCCTTGGGAATGACGACGGTCTCTCTCCCGTATATGGGTTCTCCTCAGTATCGGAGCTATTCAGAGTTTCTGTCAGTGATAACAGCGGACTCATCTTGGGCTTCTGAAACACAGACACAATTTAGCAGCGAGTTCTGAAAGGTCACACGCAGTTCAGAATGAGAATATAAGAAGGTGCATGAACAGCTATTCGATTTCAAAGTGGCAATTAGGAATTACGGAACAATTGCTGTGATAATTACGATGCTCATTTGTTTAGGAGATTGTGCTATAAGTAGGCTAAACAACGACTGAACATTTTAAACTGCCGTATGAAATACAGCGCGTGGGTTTGACTAATGAGCTTAGCGATTTAGTTTCGAAACATTTAAATCACGACTTCCTAAAAAAATCCCTTTGTAAATGCCTTATTGTTAGTTTACTATTATTTCCATTCTTTCATTTTAATTGGTAGAAAATTAAGAACGCAAAATATTCACAAAGTCTTAGTTCATCATAAATGTATTTAAATAGTTGAAAAAATAAAGATGAATCACAGAAATTTAGTGAGCGACGCCATAATAACACAGAATTGTCGGCTAGCTATACATATGGATGTGACAACAAAGCTTGAAAATTTTCGACGTATCCTAATTTAAACCCAGCGCAATGATGTTCTCCTTTCCTATAAGAATTCCATATACACGTATTAAAATAATCATACAATTTTCACAGAATTTCGTCTCGCAAATCTTATTATGAACAGGAGCTACTGATACCAACCTTCCCCCACTCTCCCTTTGCTATAAACAGTTCCCACCCTTCACACCAGAACACTACGTAAGTAACAACTACCTAGATTGTATACCCCATCTTTCTCTATCCTGCACATAATGCAGATAAGGAATACCCACTGTAAAAAAATTACCCTCTTCGACACACTTAACACCCACATCCCCCTCTCTTTGCAGCCGAAGGTGCGTATATGCGATCAATAGAAAAGGCGTAGCAATTGGAGAAACAATGTCGGAAATACAGCGACGCAAACCGCAATCTGCATGCGCGCGAGGAAAACTCGGTGCGGTGTGCACCAGCCGCGCCGGCTGCATGGCCAGGCCATGGCCGGCAGGCGCGCAGGCCATGGCCGTACTCGCATACCTGGAAATTGTGAGTGAAGTGCTTGGGTGGATTCAGGAGGTTGGCGACCGCTCGCAGGCCACTGACGATCGTAGGCGGCAGGTCGGGGTTGGCAAGCATGTCTGTGATGAGTCCGTGTGCCTCGCCCATGAGATTTCGAGCGTGACATCCGTGGATAATCGCACAAGGAAGGAGTTTTTGAAACCTCTGTGTGGATAACCACGCGAGATGTAAGATTTCTAAGATTTGTAACCTCTGTGGATACGTACACAAGCAATGAGATTTCGAGCGTAACTTCTTCAGATAATCGCATAGCGGCATGAGAATTTTCGAGCGTGACCTCTGCAAGTGATCAGACAAGGATAGAGATTTTGAGCATTACCTCTGGAAAATTACACAAGCAATGAGATTTCAAGTGTAACTTCTACAAATAATCGCGCAAGGCACGAGTTTTCTAGCATGACCTCTGTGGATAATTGCAGAAGCCATGAGTTTTTAAGTCTAACCTCTAGAACTAGATAATCACACAAGCAATGAGATTTCAAGTGTAACCTCAGCAGATAATTGTACCCGGAGTGAGTTCTTGATCGTCACCTCTAGACAATCGTGCAAGCCATAAGTTATCGATCTGCAGACGATTGAATGCGCAAGGCTTGAGATTTCGAACTCAATCTCAGTGAAAGATTGCGCAATTAGCAAGCGAAATAATTGCCTGCTGGAACTTGTGGCAATTCTTGATGGAGCTTCCAAGAAATGGTTCACAGTCGGGGTAAATTAAGGGGATTGGGAACACACTTGTGGGTCTGCATTCTTGAATTTTTTAGTTCTTGCAAAGATTTGCCTAGGTGAAATAGGATAACTAAGGTACCAGTACTTACCTTACCTAATATATAGTTTTTATATATAAAGGTAATAGATAAAGGTAAGAGAGGCAATTAAGGTAAGGTAGATAAGACGCGGCACACAAGGCTGTATATTGACGTTACTCTTGCGTCTTGGTCGATCTAGAAGATACACGGCATACGAGACTAAGCACGTAACAAAATTCCTAGTGCAGTGGCCTCTAATGAAGCCACTATATAATATATAGCCACGCACGCACGCACGCACGCACGCACACACAGACAGAAAGAAAAACAGACAGACAGACAGACAGACAGACAGGTAAGGTAGACAGATACATAGATAGAATGTGTGTGTCTCTAGAAAATACTATTTCCTCCATCTGTTCCACATTCACTGGAACCTTCCCTTCCAGAAATCCTGGATCCTCCCTCGAATTTCTAATACGGTATACTCTTTATGTCAATGCGTGATCACCTAGTTCCCGCACGTGCTACCACTCGTCATAATGATCACACAGTAACGTAGTGCTCACAATATCATCAGGAGATAATGAAGACAAATCTTTCAAATTCTTCTCAAATTTGTCTTCATTAACTCTTGATATCATCCATACTGTAGCATTTACTGTGAAAGCAGCTGCGGGCCTCAGGGTTACGGAAACGGAGATAGGCACCGCCCTATGAGCCAATGTTCTAATAAAACGGGAAAAGTTTATTAATTCGACTAATACTGCAGCATGGTTTCAGCATTTTACCGTTGTACGCTCTCCTTCTTTATCTGCTCTTGATATATATATGTGTGGTTTCATGGTTGAACGTCAGGCATTATTAAATTTAATTAACAATTGCCAGAGTTTTCCAGTGTTTTCACCACTTTCATGACACCTACCGTTATTGCTTGAGTAACAGCAATTGTCTAGAGTAACAATAAAATGTCTTAGAACCTTCCTATTCACCGAAAACTGACAGTTTCGAACTAATCGTTTTTGTAAACATTCGTTTTCTGTCATCTTGAACATTAATGCACTTGTTTTCAATTCATCACCGACGCAAATACAAGTTTACCAATTCTGCCATTAGGCATTATCGGCATACGATAAAATTTATTGCTGTTACGATGCATTTTTGCTTACGCTATAACTGCATAGAATCTTAGTATTTTTAATGTTGGTGTAATTAGTGATATTTCCGCTGTCAGGTGAGACTATATTCAGCTTTATTTAGTTTTTCTGAGAAAAAATCTCGCAATAACCGTTTTAAGGCAAGACAAAATAAGTATATTGGCTCTGAATCTGAAGGCTTTATCAGTCGGTGGTACATTAGACAGCGATGACATCTAGGGTAATCGTACTACACATTATGATAGTAGGAAATACGCGTAATAAGGGAATTTCGATCAGGGGGGAACAGCATTTAGATAATATGAAGGGAGGAATAAGCGAAGGTGACTTGCGACTGCTCTGCTTCATCTTTTCCCTGCAATAACAACATCCTTCCAATATCATGCGATACAAGATGACGCTCGTAAACACGTGCTGTTTTGCCCTCTACGCGTCTATGATGTTTTTGAGAGACCATCGGGTCTTTTATACGGTGGCCCCAAGGGGCGACCATACTTTTACGCCTGCCACGGCGTGTAATGCCACGCCTGAATGACAGCCTCAGCTCCCGCCGCGTGGCCGTGTTGTTGTTCTGCTGTTTCCGTATCGCAAAAAGTCCCCGTTGCCGGCGATATCTTATATATTATACATGCACCTGACCGAATCCATTTATCAGACAGGCGCACTTACGCATCGGTTTGCCTTCGGATGCGTGTATGCATATATATATATATATTATATAACGAGACCTGCATAGTTTAGTGTCAAAACACTTTCATGCAACACGTAGGTGAGATTTCGCATCTATTAGTGTATATATATACTAGCGGGATACCCGGCGTTGGCCGGGGATATCAGTGGCGTTACTCAGTTGGTGACCGCTTGGTTGAAAGAAAAATACAAAAAAAAATCGAACTATCTATCTATCCATGCATGCATCCATCCATCCATCT